CCCCCCCCCCCCCCCAACGCCTCAACTATCTATTATGTAGTTCTTATTCACTCAGCAATTCGGCAGCTCACACTGTAACAGGAACAACAACAAGAACAGCTACTCAAAGGCCGAGGTAACAGGTAAATTTTAAGAAAAGAAACTGCTTCATGAAGAAAATAAAAATTGCTTAGCGTGTTAAGTGAAAGGTCTGATTCAATAATGGTTTAAATGTAAATGAATTTAGCTTTCCACGTGTACGATCTTTGGACTTGCCTGGAATAGACATGCCCAGACGTGACCTGATCAAGCCAAACAAAGTGTGTCACACAGCTATCCATCCAAAGGTCACAAAGGTCACAAAGAATTTCACCTGCGAGTAGCCTCACGTTTGAATCAAACGCGTGAGTGACGAAGAGGAATAGCGATCGTTGGGAAAGAGGTGCCAAGAAGTGACTTTCTCCTCGCTGCTTCGCCCGTCGATTTCTCGCTCTCAGCTACGCCGAGCATGTTTGTGCTCCAAGGTGAGCCTGTTCGCAGGCTACAAAGAATTATCTAAGCATGTAAATACATTACTCAATTTCCCGATTTTAAAAGTTCTGCATTTTCTTCATGCAGCAACTTCTTGGCTTAAAATTTACCTGTTACCTCTGCCTTTGAGTAGTTGTTGTTGTTGTCGTTGTCGTTGTCGTTGTTCCTGTAGCAGTGTGAGCTGGCGAATTGTTGAGTGAATAAGAACTACATAATAGATATTTGAAGCGTGATTCTCGCTTAAACGCACTTAACCAAAATAAGGGGGGGGGGCCCCTCAGCTACTGCTGAATTTCAGGCTGCATACCTACCTGAGCAAGGGTAGCATTGACTGTCTCACTTATTGCACAAGAAACAGCCTCCAAAATCGATCAGGCCAGAGACGCTGGGTCAGCCATTCATACTTTTATTATTTCTAAATAATGAATTTACATACTCAGTGAAGTTCATTATTTCTAAGTAATAAATTTACACTCAGCGAGATGAAACTTCATTATTTCTAAATAATTAATTTCTAAATAATGAATTTACACACACGGTTAAATTCATTATGTCTAAATCATAAATTAAAAGTCGGCGAGATGAAACTTCATTATTTCTAATTAATGAATTTACACACTCAATGAAGTTCATTATTTATAAATAATAAATTTACACTCGCGATGTGAAATTCATTATTTCTAAATAATGAATTTACACAGTCAGTGAAGTTCATTATTTATAAATAATAAATTTACACTCGGCGAGGTGAAATTTATTATTTCTAAATAATGAATTTACATTCCCGGTGAAGTAATTTATTTATAAATAATGAGATTTACNATTATTTATAAATAAGGGGAAAATGGCATAAATTCAGTCTAAATAATAAATTTACAAACGGCACCCCATAAAAAATGGGGTGCAGTCAAACACCAGTAAGAATAAAAATATTATTCCCAGTAAATGGAATTAAGTAACATTATCACCAAGTGAAAGACAAAATATTTCCCAAAATTTCTCAGCCAACACTTCAAAGCCACAAAATTTATGTTGCAAACTTTGGCATGGGTGAGTGTGCCCAGAATAACTGGAGAGCCACCTTAAGTAATGATGAAATGGAATCAATAGAATAACCATGATAAGAATGGTATTATCCTATTGATACAATATTAATAACAAACAGTGGGGTTTGACTTTTCAAAATTACAGAAAAACTCAAATTGCATCCAGGGCCACCAGATCACAGTTTTCATGCAACATGCATTTAAATAGAAAGGAATTGTTGGCCAAATTAACTTTAACTAAAAATAGCAGACACTCTTTAAAAATAAAGTGGTTTGCTATTAAACAGATAAAAACAATTCCTTTATATTGCTATATGTGGAAACAAAAAATGAAAAGGGTTTGTCAAACACAGCTCGATACACCACCACCACCACCACCCACATATGGTGCTCTCCCATGTAGATGTGGAAGGAAAACAACTTGTTTTCACTCTAAGAAGAATTGGAGTTTGCAAGCCCTGACAGTGAGCCCTGACAGTTGTTCAGATTGTTTTCTTTGGAGTTAATGACGATAAATTGATTAACACCAAATTAATTAAGAGAGCACTCAACAAGGTTTTTTTTTTTTTTTCATGACAGAACTCAAAAATGATATTGTTCGCAAAATGCTTGACAGTGGCCTTATAAATGAGTAGTTTTACGGACGTTATTTTGAAGATATGCTGTTGATGGACTAACCAAATAAATCTGACATGTTTTATGGTCAACAAATTTGAAGATGGCATGGTCCATTTCCTGGACATTTCTCTGAAAAGAACATCCATTGACATTTATAGGAAGCACACAAACACTGGACAGTATGTCTTGTTTTGTAGTCATGAACGTTGGCCTCGCGAAATTGCTTGGGTTAGAGCCTTGTTGCACCAGGCTTCTCGTATATGTGAAATGGACTCTCTCTTTCAGAAACAAATAATGATTAAAACGTTCCTGTCACGGAATGGCTTTCCTAAATCTGTGGCTTCTAATCTTGAAAGGTGTTTCAGACACATTGGTTCAGAACTTAGAACATCTTATCCCAATAACAACAAGACTATGAGTTTTAAGGATTTTAAATTCTAATGTGGGGTTTGGGACTGGCACTAGTTTTGCTAGCCTAATGATATAATTTTTAAAGCAGATGGGAGCTCCTCTGGGGGCCTGTCCAGGAATCCCCATCAATGTCCCAGACCAAAGATGACATGTACTTTATTACTTAATCTCATACAGGAAGTGAGTAATGTCTGAACAGTTTTCATTGAAGTGCCTTGAAAACAGAACCAGAGTATTAACAATATTACAAACAACACAATAAAGAAAGTACAGGATGCAGAACAGAGCATAGTGGTGCAAACCCAAATGCAAGTTAATTTTGAAACCAAATTAAAAATTGCCACATAGAATGAGACAGGTAGCTGCAATCACAACTGGTGGTTTTTCATTTGCATAAAAAAATTAACAGAGATTAAGTTGAAGGAAGTGAGTTTATAGAGAAGTCCATTTGCATCATATTAATCAAAAACTGGTTTTCTTATTTCGATACAGAAATACAGTATGTATATTAGTTTTATAATTTGAATTATAATAATATTACTGTTGTACTTTAGATTATAATTCCAAAGCTCTGTTAAAAACTGGTCTCAGTTTCATTAGGTAGTTTTGTGCCTTGGGCCCAAAACAGCAGCCTGAAAATGGTCCCTGTAAGTTGACAAGCCCTTGAATAGCCAGGAAGTTTGAAGAAATGGGCCCCTTCACAGAAAGTCTCGGTTTTCCACAATATTGTGGTGTCTATTAATGAGCTAAATCCCTTGTCATATTTTTAATAGCCTGGCCAAACCAAACCTGGAGGCATTAGATGATATGATCGATGAGGAGGAAGGGGAGTTAGAAGAAGATGATGAAGAAGAAGGACAAGGACAAGAAGATCGAGAAGAACAAGAGAAAGGGCAAGAAGAACAATACAATGCTGACCTTTACAGAAAGTTAATAGAGGGTGAGTTTGGTGACAGTGGTGTAGAATAATCAGTATTTATTTTGTGAATTTTTTAAATTTTTAACAGTATTTCTTCCATAGATGTATTAATAATTAATATTAATAATTAAGTAAATAGAGTCTAAAATTGTTTTGATTGTTCTACATTTACAACAGCTTATTCAAATTAACCCAAGCTCAAAAGCTGAAGAAAACATGTCATTACTCTTTTTTACTGAATGAACCACAGATCATTGTGCTGTCTGTGAATAGTTTTGTTGGATCTAGATTTAAGGGTCAAAAGAATGACAGAACATTAATATTTTCATCTTCATTATAAGAACCCAGTCACAGTCGTGCATGACTAACTGTGGCCACCTTCCTTAGTTTAAATGAGCTAATCAAAATGCATGAACTAGGTACGGTGAAAATATCAAGCACCATGTAACCTGTCGGTCAATTGACAACTCCACCTCTCACATTTCTTTTCATCATTTTTGGATTTGCCAGGTGTGAATGGTCCAAGCCATAAGAAAGTTGTTGAAAAGATGTCAAAAAAAGATGAAAAAAAAAAAAAAAACTAGTTTGGTGGCCTGTGTTAGAAGTGCTCCACTGTAAAAAATTGTAGAATTTCCCAAACTAATTCTAACTTTGGTTATTTTGCCTCTGCAACAATACAAATGTCAAGATTATAGTGGTTTTACAACACAGGCTAAAAACAGGTCCTAGAATATAATTTTCGAAAATGTTTGGATAAAGCGACGGTTTGTATCATCCGTGAGCTCATGTGCCCATAATTTTGTCTTTCAAAATTGAGTTTAACATTGCAGATAATTCAAGTCAAGGTCACAAGTCAGATTGTTTTGGTTCGCCCGTGTGTAGAAAGATCTATAGGATTCCTGTGGTATTGGTATTGGTAATTATTAGACCTGTTCATGAAAACACTAGTTGTATAAATTCCAGTCTAGCCATAAGTAAAAAAGATTTGTAACCTTCTTTGTCATAACCGAATTATGTTATTGAACTAGTACGAGTTCCGTGTTGGTAAAACATTTGTCAAGTTCTTCACCTTGCAGTGTTATGGCGAGATCCATAGACTTTTAAAAAAAGAAATACCCATAACAGTATCCGACGTCAGTTTAATTCCATGTTCAATGCTAAATTCCTGAGGGGTGTGCCAACAAACGAGGATTAACAATAGAGCTATAAATCAATGAACATAACAAATCCCTCTAAGATTCTCCAACCGAAACAAGTGATATGTTGTTGAGATATCACTGAACTCCTAATTTTCAACCTTCTGCTTTCATTTCATCGTTTCTCCCGGTTAATAACAGGCACC